CAACACTGACCGGATGGATGCACGGTATACACTGAATTTAAGCCCGCCAATCGACCGCTCCACATTAACACACTGTGTTGAATGCGCGGTCCGAGTGGTAATCTCCAGAGCCACGCATTTCAGTGCACTGTGACAGCTTCAAGGGAGTCAGGTTGTATATTGTAGGGAAAATGCATTGAGCCCTCGATCTTACTCTCTATTCCGAGTCGCGCAGACAAAAAAGGCATATGAACAGACACCAGGTGACGCAACAACCACGTTAGAACAAGTAAGAATCTTATCCATTTATATATCCTTGGAATAAAACGTCTACCATGTCCCCAAAACATGTTATCCTGCGGAGAAACAGTAAAATCTGCAGTGCGGCCGAGGTCCTAACGGTATCTTTTTTTACCAGTACGACTGATTGACTTCCACTACTCACTACCCAGTTTGTCCCGTAGACAGGAGACTGTAAGGCCGGAGGCAACCTTCATCATGTCAACTCATAGTCTCACTTGGCTGTACAAAATCAGTCGTTGCCCAGGGTCGGGTTAGACGGAATTGACGTCTCAGATGATTTATCTCCAGATAGGCAGGTACGTCTCAATCAACGAGTAAGAAAGGCATTCGTTGAAGACATAATCAGAGAGATGCATTCGGATAATTAGGTGCAGATGCCACCGATCAAGGTCTGGCCTACCTTGACAACAGTTTCTGTCACTTGTAACTTGGTGTTGTGACTGATTTCTCACTCACTGCATAACGTAGTCGAAGGTACCGCATGGGTAATTGACTTGGCGGATGATGTCATTTTGACATATCCATGTGAGAAACAGTTCGCACCAAAATAACAACTTACCCAGGAGCTTTACCATGAACGAGGGACAAGTAGCTTCAAACACGAAGCAATCATGATCGCTTCTGAAGGGCTTGTTTTCGGGCCCACTTCAGCTGCCTTAACGAAACTTGTCTCGGTGAATTTTTTTGATTTCCGTGCGACAGGATAAAGTGTATTCCCATAAAGACAATTTCATGGTAAGCTGCATGGGAGGCATGAATCAATTTCAACTGATACTCGTTAGTCAGCATCAACTGTGCAAATTAGCAGGCCCAGTTTGACATAATAATTATAAAATAGGCCAAGTTAGTGTCGACGGTGTATGACCGACGATGACTGCGACTGGATGTAGTCAATGTTTTTTAAAGATATTAGATACATCTGACAGGAATGACTGTTCTTTGGCGTTCGGAGTTGACATTACCTAGCACTTGTCAGACACTACGCCAAGACGTTACAGTGTAAAACCGCGTTATCGTGTAGCTATCTTGTCGTTTCTTTCAGTTATGGCAGTGCTCAAAGAGCAAAAACGGAAATGGAAGTCTAAAAATTGACTCCAACGCTTTGCTAGCAAATGAAAACATGAACAATGGCTACGTACATAACACCTAATATCATGTATTCAGTTAGAATATGTATCCTACGAAGGATGCCATCGAAAAATCAAGATGCAGAGAAGGCTATTTGCCCCTCGTACGCCAGCAAAAGGTATTGACTATATTTTATCTCGTTCAGTATTGTTTTGTTTCTCGTTTTTCTTTCCGGACATCAATTATAAGATTAACACAGGCACATCCTAGGCTTGGCAAATTCTACTCTAAAGGCATTAAGGACTAAAACTGTGATACTTAAAGTACTTTAAACTGTTTAATATTGAGCAGCCGAAGCCGAGAAGACAGTCAAAATTACCGTGCACGGTTTCGAAGGTTTGAACAGCCCTATCAAGAAATTGGGGCCTTTGACCAGCAATGTTCACCAGACTGTCCATAATGGCATCAAAGACGGCACCTGTGACGACAAAACGTACGGAGGCCTCATCACTCTTGCGCAAGGGCAGGCTCGTCAACCCGGCAAGCAAGCGCTCCGCCTCATCGGCCAGGCGTCGCGGCCGGATAAGGCATATGCCAGGCAGTGGACTGCTTGAAGAAGCCGCTGTACTAGACTCGACAATACTCTTTAGCAGACTGTTTGGCATGTCTGGAATCTGATCAAGGGAGATGTCTGTCTCAGTCCTGGCC